CAGCCTACCTTTATTTACGAAATCAGAATGCGTAATAATCTTCTTAAATTTGCCATCGACTGAGTCATTTGAATGAAACCTAGGGGTTTGTGATATCATTTTTCAGTGTTTTATTTTTTATATTACTCTTTATTCAAACAAATAACTCCGTAGGAGAGACGTTAATTCATTTCACACAATGACGCTATGCAAGTTGCAAACATAATCCTAGATTAATGAAAAGGGATAAAATTTTTATGCCTCCAGTGCAAGCCAAAGCCAGTACTGCATAATGGTCCCCATGTTAAGAACATACTTTTGAGAACACTGTACAAATTTGAGAATGTGTAACACCCATTCAAATTTTCCATTAGCTTATTTTGTTATATTGTACTAGTATCGCATTAATTGGCTCTGTTGGAGAATTTGATGCTTGACAGCGCTAAAGGATGTTGTTCAAGCTGCCAGGGACAACCTTCAAGCTAGAGTAAGATTGCTCTTGGAGAGGAAGAATGTCGCTTTTTGCTTCAGCTAAAAAAAAAATGGTGACCAAAGAGTTCATCAGTTGCACCTTTTTCCTCTTTTCATCATTCTATGGATTTTTTCTTGGATTATGGGGAAATTTACAGTTGCTGTAGTTTTCGTATTTTCCAGCCCACACTGTTGCACCCCAAATTCAAAGCCTAATGACTGCCTATCAGCTCAAGATCTTACTATGCAAATCGTTCCCTTTTTGAATCCCATATGTTCATAGGTACTGAATTATTTATCCCCAGACCGTGATAGTAAAGTTCCCAACGCCTCCTTGAGTATCGCTAGTTCGGCTGTTCATCTTTTTGTAAATCGTAAGAATTAGATGAGTAACTGAATTTGCTGAACCTTGATATTGCCGTTACTTGATTCTTAGTGAATCTGTTTTGCAGCAAGCACCGTATTTCTCAAGTGAAGCCTTGACAATTAATACGGAATGTTTGTTGAGGAAATTCATGAAAATAGACACACATCTTTTCTGAAATGTATTCCATAGACGGGCATAGAATTAGATTCAAAAAAAATTCGCTAGTTGTGTTGTTCAAACACACTTCCCCACGCCTGAAACATTGTAGCTTGGGGGGTGAGTTTTTCCTTTCTACACTCATGACTGTTTTTCCCACGCTGATTTTCTGAGACCTCGTTTTTTCTCCTTAGAAAGCAAAATTCACAGAGTTTCTTGATTGAGAGATTCCGAGGTGTCAACAGAACGCCTTGCAGTCTACTAACGAACGCTTTTGTTGTATTTCTGTAGTAAATGACAGTCACAACAGGTGGTAGCCTACGTTTGTGAATTAGCTTCTCTTCAAAACCTTTGAAATTCGTATTCTCTTGATCACGAGCAGTTTTTGCTTCCGAGCTGCCAAGGCATGCCTCGAGTATGTGCGGACTGTCATTTTCCATGTCTCTTGAAACTGGGCACATGGACTTATTTGAAATTTCTCGACGAATTCAATTGAAAATTGTTTTGAGAGCCTATTTTATTTCGACGAATGTTGAGAAGGTGCCCTTAAAAGTTAGAATTTCGCAAGTTCTGAGAAAATCTTCTTGAATTCAAGAAATGAGATTGTACCTTATTTTTGACCAAACGTAAACTCTACGATTCTCATTAATTTCAATTTAGCTGGTTATTAGCTTGTTTTGTAGCCAAAATACAGTAACAAGTTCAGCCAAAACATCAACACAGATTAGAACTGCATGAAAAAGAACAAAAAAAGTATTACCTTTTGCAAGCCTCTCTTCGGCAAGCCAGTCCCAAAATAAGGTGATTTTTGATATTCAAATTATACTGCACCCTCATGCTTACGGAATTGAGCACATTGGTGTTTACCTCGATCCGAATTATTTTACTGCGTCAATGATATTTGTTTATAAGGACGAAGATTCCTCAATTCACATAATTTTGAGAAATATGAATATGATCTACTTTACAATATGTGATGATTACCTATGTTTTCACCAGAAAGCGATCCACTCGTGCTTGAGCTCTAGTAGGTAAATGGATTTTTTTGGTCTTCATGTAATTGAAATGCTATAAGGCTGCCACAAATAATGCTAAGCGTATTCAAAACCCCACTGAAAAGGGCAATAGAAAAGTTCTCAAAGATTATGCTAAATGTATTGAAAGTGATAGACTGAGCACAACTTCCACACTTGCAAGAGCCATTCAGTCATCAAATATCATAGCCACCGAAAATGCGAAAAGAGCTTGGTAATCCTCTTAACTTGCAAGTTCTACATACTTAAGCTTCAAAGAAAGTCCACTCCATTGCCTAGCAGCCTCTTGTGCTGTGCCACAGGCACAACCAAACTTTTAGCAATAAACTTCTTGCCTATATAGTCAATGTCGCTGCGTAATTGGTAGATTTTGGAAAAGCTTGATGATCTTTCTGTTCATTGATTCTATAGTACCACATGTCATAAAGCTCTGGAAAAGGAAACAGTGAGAATTTATTGAAAAAGTTAACACATGGTTCATTCATGGTTTTTGCAGAAGGAATAGATTCATGTTCTACCATGTAGTACACATCTTATGTAAACCGGAAGATTGGTTTCAGAGTGGCATTAGGGTAGATTTTGCCACCCTAATCTAAAGGGATTCTTAGGGATTCTTCCCACTGCTCTCATTCGCATATATTCACATAAAGTTTAGATTCTACTCCCCATCGAGCGTATACAACTAAACTGGGAGCGATACCCACACCTGAGCCTTGCAAAAGAGTCATCACAGTAATGGAATGCAGAGCAAAATTTTTCGTAGTTGTTTTCCGATTAGCCCGTTTACACCTAAATTCAAGCCATATCGTTAGCTGTGCGCTAACGAAATGGTTGTTTCATGCTTGGTTCAAACCTGTTTTTGAAATTCGCGCTTTGAGTAGGACTGTGCTTGAGCAAGTCAGTCGTGTGGTATCTTGTTGATCATGTCGTTGGTGACGTTTGGATAGTATATGGTACATGCCAATGCGAATTTACGACCTCTGTTTTGTTTTTTCCCCAACAAACAACTTGAAATTTGCTGCCAAAGCTTTGAGATTGGGAAAAATTGTGCAGACAGGCAACTGCAGTATTGCACAGTTGAGCACGATAGCGGAACTATTCGCTTCTCTTTCCTTTGATTTGCGGAAAATGCTTCACGATGAAGGGACTTAACACACTCATGTAAGATCTTTATATATTTACAGGCTACCTAGAATTAATCCAACACCAAAACAACGTACATGTTTCTGGTCTTCAAAAAAGCACAACATCCATTTACAAGCGCTCGTATTTGCAAGAAAACGGCAGCAAATCAAACAACATCGCGTTAAATTACTCACATGAGTTACTTTATAGACGTTATGCAGAAAAACAGAAGTTGAGATGATTTATATGTCTAGAAATTCTCTTATTCAAACCCATTTGCCTGGTATTTTCACGACTCGGCCTCCGTTTGACAATGAATGTTTACCACTACTGCGAAACTGCTACTTTTCTGACGCTGAGAAAAATGTTGAAGTGTACTGCACTCAAATTTAATGTACACAGTTACGATCAACAAGTCTTCAAAAACTTTTGTCTTTGCGACTTCATAGTGAACTGCAAATAGAGATTGTAAGTAATACTACCGTTTGTGAGGAAACTGCAAGAAGTTGGGGACTGCTGCGGATCGGTTAATTGCTAATAGCTCTTTCTAATCACAAATTGAGGACAAAATAATTCTTGAACATTTTCCCTTGGTTTTGATCTTCACCTCAGCGCATAGCTGAACGAAAAAATATTATTTTGCACAAGCTTATAACTCATAATTAGAGATAAACATTATAATATGTATGTAATAAAGATTGTAAATACTGTCTTCTATTAAAGGCAGTGTTCCGGCAGATTTTGCACTTCCACCTTCCTGCATGTTTTAGGCCTTTTCGCCACGTAGAACCCGAATTCTAGCTTTGAACGGGCTGAAAAGGCCGATTTTGGGGGGTTTACCTGACTCCAAGAAAGATCTCGGACGAGATTTTTAATGGAAAGTTGGGAGGCCCTCAGACGAAGACCCTGCCGCCGTAATTTTTGCTTTGGGTAGCATGCACAATGAGGGAGAGCGCTCTTGGGGTCCCGCGCCGAACAGACGAGGGTAGCCGTCCGAGCGCGCGCCAGTTGGGGTTGCGCGCGCCGGTTGTTGGGCCATTTTCTCGGCCCAGGGGGAACATCACTCAGCCGGACTGCGCCTGGAGGTCGGTGAGGTGACCAGGAACCCCAGCACACCTATATCGGCCTTTAAGAGAGGGAGCTGTCAACTGAGATAAGGCTCAGACCATGTCTGCTCTAGTTCCAAAATCAACCACAACAAGAAAAACATTTGTTTCCTCCTGGGACCATCTCAAAGCGAAATGATTAGTAATTTAGAACTCCCAGACTTCGATTTTTTCATTCTTTTACCTTGAGTTATTCGAGAGTTTTTGATGTTATAAGACACTCATTTCAGAATGGTAAACCACTTCAAGATCCATTTTTTGCTCTTATTAGAAACGATTTTCTTACGCTTTGTTATTCCACCCATTCTCTGTTTCTCAATTTTTCACGCGGAACGGCCTATTTCGATACATGGTAGGAAAAAATGACTACCTTTCTAAAAAAGAAACTTATAAACAGGAAATGACGCACACGAAGCCTAGAAGTAACGCAACGGAAGTGCGTAGTAGTTTGTATTTGAAATCATAATTTTTCCAGTATTCCATAATTATATTCCCATCTTTACGCTGAGTTCTAATTTCACTAGATTCGTACCCTTGGCGATCTGATTGCTGCTTTAATTAGATCTCCGCCTATTCACACAATAAGCTTCTTCCATCTCTTCTCAAAGTGATCTGTGTATTTATGCTCATATTATTTTGGGGGAATACGAACTAGATTCAGCTTCACCTTCCATCTCACTTCGCAATATTCACAGCCTAGCTGAGAACTTGCCATCCAGTTCAAAGCTATTTCCATTTCAGCACTTAAAAGCACTTATTCTCATGGAGCCACTCAGCAATGGAACTCTGCACTTGGTGGAAGAGACTAGCAACTATGTGAACACTTGTCGTATAAAGAATGTAAGCCTAAAATTTTGTAACAAAAATCTAAAAGGGGAAATAGTGTCTGAAAATTTTTTAAAAACAAAAATTTCTCTGCTTTAATAAGAAGCATATTTGAGCTGCTAACTCATGCAAAAAATCGGGCTGCATCGATTTTTTGTTGCTCGTATTTGTTGTGGCAAAACCGACCGATATTACACTTTCCTAGAGTAATTTTCGGAGAATAACATGTACATGTATGAGTAGTTCTTCTCTTTCTGCAAGGAAAAATTTTCTTGTAAAAGATTTCAGAATCCCATGGACTTGCTTGCAGTACGAATGCTTATGCTTGCACTGTACTCTACTGTATTCATTGTGGCTGTTTCCGGAAATTTTCTTGTTGTTTACGTAGTAATTGGTAGTAAACGGATGCAGACTGTGACAAATATTTTCATAACGAATCTGGCCATATCCGATCTAATGGTAAACTTCACGTAAGTTTACTCATTCTTGTTTTTGCTAGCGATAGTCATAAACAGTAGATGATATCACTAAAGCATGAAAATTTAACGATCTCTTGTTATGTTTGCAAGCCTGGATTACTGTAATCCTTGTGATAGAAGGGTAGTGGCTTTTGAAACGGAACTTCCGACGGTAGGCCAGTTTGGTCATTTCAAAAGCTTATAAGAGGCAATCTTGGGATGATTTACGGAAAGATAAGGAATAGTTACTAGAATTTTGAAAACCATAGGTTCAAATGGTGATATCGAACATTTCGAAGGGGTCTTGACTGACTGAAGAAAAGGAATGACAGCTTATGTCATTTATAGTTACCGTACTTTGTAAATAGTAAGAGTACCGTATTCAGATCGCTCTGGCTAACCCCAATGTATACTTATGTTGGACACTGGATATGGGGAGATTTATTATGTCATGGACTTCCTCTTTTTCAAGGTAATCCGGCTTTTCCTTCAGATTCTTTGATCTAATCAGCCACTGTAAACTCCTCTAATTTTTCCGGAATTTGAAACTGCCATAAATGAAGAATTAAAGGTTTTCACAGTTGGCTGACTAATTGATTAGTTTTCGGAAAAAAAATCAAGAATCATTTTATTTATGCGGTAATCACGTTTTTAATGAATGACGAATGCTCTGCTGAAAAACTCAAAAAATGACGAGTTCGTGTGATCGTAGTTCGTGGGAAAAAGAAAGTTTCCTTTTAACATATTAGGAAATAGCTTCCTACGTCTTTATCACCGCCGTGGGAATAAGGAAGTGACTAAAACAACCAAGAAACCAGTAACTTAACTTTAGGGAAATTAAGTTTATTTTTCAGGCACAAGTATTTTTATAAGCACCTTAACCTTGATGGCAATTGCTATGGACCGATATATCGTCATTGTACATCATTCTAGTTCAATGAATATAAATGATAGGATGTCAATGAGGGTAAAATTCAACTTTTTTCGTTTGAAAAGGAAGTTTATATATATGATATACCCATTCCAGACTTGTATATTTATTGTAACAATGATTTGGTTTATATCACTTATGCTTGTCATGCCATACGCTTATCATATGAGATTGACTTTCATCACTGAACCATGTAACTTCTGGGTTTGTGGAGAAGACTGGTCCAAGAAGAATATCAAAAGTGTATATGGTGTGATAGTCATGGCTCTGCAAGTATGTTTTTTCTATTTGTGAAGCTAGAATATTTTCCTAAATTTCTTTTCCAGTTTATTGTCCCATTTGTCATAATTGGGATCAGCTATCACAGTATTTGGTCATTTTTGAATGGTAGACGACGACTGACAACGGAAAGAGCCATAGAAACCAGCAGGTTCCTGAATTTGTTTTTACATCATGAAAAAGGAAATAATAAGTTCTGAGACAAGCATATACATATCAGGTCAACCAAGCAGAAAACTGCGAGCTTGTGAGCTGTAAGAATAAATATGTATGGAATAATGTAGCTTTCACTAAGCTCCCTTCAACATTACTATTGCTGAAACTCGTCCATGAAAAATCAAGAAGAATTCACTTTTTGACTGCCTAGGAGTAATAGATACAGAGTTTTGTAAATAAATGCTCAGATATATAGCAATTCGGATTTTTTTATAAAAACCCTCCAAACTTCCTCTGGTCAGCCTAGGAGTTTTCTAAAATTTTCTGTATAGAGGTAGAGGAGAAACAAGATCATCATTTGTTAGATTTAATTTATTTTTCATATCACCTTTGAATAGCCATCCTCTAATTTAGCTGAAGATGTGAAATGGCCCACGAAAGAATTAATTGGCGGTAAAAAAGCCTTCTTTCCAAGTTAAAAATAGAAATGGAATGCTATAACAGGCAAAAAACTTCTCATCAAATAATTGCGAAAGGCTTAATAATTGATAGTTTTGCCTGAAACAATTATTTTGTAATTTCCTAGACGATTTTGAAAAAAAAATTATATCGATCTATTTTTGAAGCTACAACAGCCGGAGTTCAATAAGTTTAAAAAACATGGATTGAAACACTTATGGTCCCTTTATGATGGATCCTTTGTATTAGGTTGTCAAGAAAATAATGTTGTTTTTTTCGGGTTTTTTTTTCGTGTAAAATTGATATTACTCGAGAACTAGAGCATATCCAAAGCCGAAAATTTATGGTTAAAGTTAGCTTTGTAGTATATAAAGGCATATATGGGAGGGGCCCGTACTACTGGGGGCCGAGTCTGCCATTTTCCATTTTTCCATTTTTTCTTGGTTTCTAAGCATGGAAAAATTATAGCAAGTGTACCTCTGGATAAGTGCATGTGTCCCCAACGAGGAGCAAGTGAGAGTTTCGCAGATTTTTCTAGGGCAATCCAATTTTTGGCACCACGAGTTGCTCGTATGTTTTGGCTCTAAACTATGCGTAAACAACAGTTCTGCCAATGTTCGGATGTCATCTTGTAAAGCTTGCTTTGCTCTATCGAATGGTATATACCACTTATATGGTTTTTTTATCTGTCTTATGGCTCTGTTATGAAAAACGACGTTATTTTCTTGACAACCTAATAGTTACGTAAACTAAGGGTGCATCAGATTTTTTGGTTGCACGAATTTTGAAGTAGTAAATATTGTAAATATAGTTTTTGGGTATGGAATTTGCGAAGGGGATGCAGATTTCTTTAAGGATAATAGAAGATAACATTGGGAGTAGCAACTTTGCTGAAGCAATGGTCTGCTTATGTCCTTGAGCACATTTCAGAATCTTATATAAAGCCAGAAAATCCTGCCCCCAACTTTCTGTAATTTAGTGACCAGCGTATCGCAAAAGCTCCTCAAAGCTCACTTCATAAAGCCAATTATTGAAAATCAAAAAGATTTGCGTGTAGCATATCATTTGCAGGAAGATATTCTTCTTTAGAAAAAAGCGACTTCTGCGTATGTTGGTGATAATGGTGTTGATATTTGCTGTTTGTTGGTTCCCATTCAACCTTTTGTAAGTTTTGATTCAATGTTCATTATTTTGATCCGATTTTGTTCATTCTAGGAATATTCTTCGAGATCTACACTTGGACAGCTTTATTCGGCCACATTTCAGCTTTATATTTTTAGTTGCACATCTTATAAGTATGACCGCAACTTGCTGGAATCCAATACTCTATGCTTGGATGAATGAATCATTTAGGCATGTTTCACCTCATTTGTCGCCGAATAAAGAGGAGAAGAGTTTTTTTTAGGGAAGGATTCGTCAAAGCTATTCCCTTTTTACGATTTGGCAAGCCTCGTGGTCGAGTTAGGGTTAAGGCAGGTTAGATTTTGCCAAATGCTTTGAGTCATTTGAGTCTTGAGACAAGAAACCGGTTTGAACTGGTTTTTTGAAGATTTTTTTGAAGTTACTATTTCAGAAGAACGACCAGGAGAGTATAAATCTATTGCAACTACCCATACACCAATCGATTGCTCAAAAGAAAGCGAAGAGAATTCAAATTACCAAAAAGGTCGGTAAACACGTAGCAGACGTTGATTCAGCCCTTTCGCTAATGAGATGAATCTTTCCAGATTGCTTACAAAGCCACAAAACATTTCATGGTAAAAACAACGACGTAAAGAATTCGCTGGAATCACCAGATACTGAAAAAGTCGACTTGATACTCACTGATGATGCAGAAATGCATGACAATTATCTTTTATGATCTCGCAATTATCCACTTTATTCTAGAAAATTTTTTCAAAAGAATCTCTGATTCCGTGTCAATTTGTTCACATGTCAAATATAATTTTATCTTCATTTATAACCAGTAAAGCGCGGGTGTGTTTTTGTTTTTTAGGCATGTCCATAGAGTATACGTTACGGCATGTCACGAAATAAATAATCCGATAAAATCAGTCATTCAATTTTGCAAAATTTTGTTTCTGATGGAACAGAATCGAAGCACATTTTCCAAATTTTTTGCTCATTACCACATATTACCCTATTTACAAAATTCTTAATTACTCATCAAAATGATTACCAGACATTTTTTATGAATCTTTGCTATTTGGAACTCAGTTTGCGACGAAAGCATACACGTGAACCAGTGAAAGGACCTTCTAGATGACAGTAAAATCAATACGTGTAAAAATAAATTGCTTTATAGACAGTAATCCAAAGAAGAGATTTGAAAACGTGCATAAATTTTGTTTTAGCCTATTGTTTACGAAGATTTTCGGCTAAGTAGTTGACCCTTTTGCAGACATTCAGATTTTGTTCGTTCGCGAACAATCACTGCATTAACAGTAATGGGAGGTACTGGAGTATTACTATGCAAGATGTAAATTGGAGGGGAGTACTGTAATATTACTGTGCAAAATGTGAACTGCCTAATATTACTGTGCAAGATGTAAACTGCTTAGATTAATAAGTTTATTTCGATCATTCTTATCACAGAACACGTCTGAACTCACAGACTTATGGAATTATTAACAACATTTGTCGACAAATCCAGCGACAAGAGGGAGAGATTTTTGTACAGAGAAGTCCACTTCAACCCATTCAGCGAAACAATCCTCGGCCATTAGCGATACCGTACTGTAGCGAAATGGCTCGGAAACGCTTGAATTTGGGTGGGATTGGCGTCTTTTCGGGGTTTTCATCGATGCTGGGCAAGGGTAACACTTTTTTCCGTTGGGCTTCGAGGTCCAGTGGTACAACTTGGCTCTGAAATTTTGGGATTATCAGAAGATGATATATTCATGATATATTACGATATATTTATACTTCAAGTCATTTGGCCACTCGTTTTGTGCAATTGCACAACTTTTGAGTATGCACTGGCGGGATGGCGTCATAGGGGTGGATTTTTTTTCATTGTGTGCAAGCTTTGGTTCCTTTTCGTTCTTTACGCGTTTTTTTCAAACATGCTGTCATTTTACTATTTCCTTTCATCAGGGTAAATTTTGAAGGTTGTGCATTTACACAAAGCGAATAGTCTGAGATGTGTGCCTACTTACCATGCTAACTGCACGAACAGCGGCTTGATGAAGAAGTTTGGGCGCTAGCAAATCCAACAAGAACGACCCAATGGGTGCCGTCAACAAAATTGCCAATATACAGCAAATCACTGTCTAAATTTGATGAATTACAGTTATCGAATGGAACTGAGTCAGATACCAAAAATCCGCTAAGTAGCAAGCAGCGCGATTTTTATTGTGACACGTTTGACGATCAGTACGCTGCCTCTGCGGTTTCGACAACATTTGCGCGTAGGAAATTACCTCACAGCTGCTTTCCACGCGCAAATGTTGTCGGCAATGCGAGAAAACTATCTTTGCTGTCAAATAAACTATCAAAGACAAACTCACGAAAAATGCTTCACTCTCATATTCAGGATATTGTTTCGCTGACACCATTAGATTTGGCCCAAGAGCTGCCTAAAATAGACTGTTTCTTGAGGAACACTAGCAGCTCACAATTTTTGTTCCCACCTGTACGGTCGCTTTTGGAACAAGAGACCAAACGACAACGAACTGCTCTCTCAGCTGTAGTGGGGAACAGGCGACAATAGCAAATCCGCTGGCCAGTCGAGCCAACGTACCAACAATAACAAGAATAACGCAAGCGCACACCATCCACACGGATATCTGAGTGAATTACAGTAGTAATACAGTAGTTTAGGCGAAATTGCAGCTCATGTAACTCAGTGACTTACACTGTTGAATTTGAGGAATGTTCCAACGAGAGAGAACAGCAGCGGAGATGCCACATAGAACCATGTACTAGCGAAGAAATTCGCTATAGGCTCAATCTGAAATTCAAAAGTTTGAAGCTATTCTGCAATTGCACACAGGACGGGTTATCCCTACGTTACCAGTCGAGAGAACAATTCCAAAACTGAAGTAATTGCGATACATCTTAAATTCATCTTCCTAACTTAGCTCCTTCTATTGCTGTTTCTCATAAAGATTATTCCATAGTAACAATTTGACATTTTTTACTCAAATTTCTGATTTTGAGAGGTCTTTGCAAAAAGTGTTGTAAAACTTACCTGAGATTATTTACTTAAAAGACATTCTACAGTTCTGAGCTCTTAGTTACAATGAAGACTACGGCTGAAAACTGGGGAAAATGTGCGCCAATTCCTCCAATGACGCGCATGATGTGCGAATGCACAAATTACATTTTTGATGTTATTCACGAAATCTATCTTCAACCTTTATTCACTTCTCATTTCGGAACATTTGCATGTTTTATTAAGTTTTTAAGATCTCTTGTCACTAATGCTTCTTCTTCAGGTTATCTGCTGGTTCTAAGAATTCCCTAATTGACAACCCAAAAATAGATATAAAAAACTCAGCATTTTTACCTTTTTCGGGTTATCACCGCGCCATTGCATTGGAGCCGTAAAGCATAACAACAAACCCGCAACAACTCCTGGGAATCCATGATTGATATTGCTCATTCCTAAAAAGTTATTTGTAATTAGATCATAACGCTTTTACTGTTTGTGAACTCACCAATAATGATTGCAATAGAGAGGAAAATGATGAGTAAAATTCGACCCGTATGTGTATGTTTTTGATTGTTGAGAGGAAAATACCATAGAACCCACCCTAAAACAATTTTGTTGTGCTGAACTTCTTCAAAAAAATTTATTGTAAGAGAAAGTTACCGATAAATATGCCTATTAACCCGCAAAGAATGACTTCTCCGACATTTTTCACAAACACGGCAAATTTTGGCTCTGAAATAGATTTAATAGAAGTTGCTAGAATTTCGAGGTATCGAATGAATTACCGTAGCTGAATGTGATAGCAGATACAAGACTAACTACAATAATGGAAAATGTATTGTCAAAACAACAAGCAGCCGGAACAAAGCATGGAATGTTCTGAAAACTTGTGGTTAGAGCATAAAAATTTATAACATCTATTTCTGTTTTCAAGCGCACCAAATCTGTTCCGATATGTAATCGCTGACATTTCTGCATCACTGGACCACATATTGCTGGAGACACCGTCGCCAACAGAAATCTGAACACATCGAATTAGTATTAGCTTAAGAAATCGTATAATTTTCATAAAACTCACCCACTGATTATCCCAAAAGCAACTGAAGAATTGAAGAAGAAAATCGATACCACAGCAATGGCTAGAGCTTCTGCTATTGCAGAAAAAATACCCAATGCTAGAGGGTAGGTCTGAAAATCATAAAAGCTAATTTATTGTGGTTCCGTTGGGATTGGTTATCTATAAAAAATATTACAGCCATAAATTATATATATGTCATACAATAAGTCCTCTTTTCTAGTATGGACCTGTTCTTGTTTAACCGAGTCAATAATAACTTTGATTGAGTCAATAATAACATTAACATTTCTTATACAATTCTTGTAACCGAATGTAGCGCAATAATAAAGTGCCTCACCAATACAAACCTGTAGGGCACAGAAGAATTGTTCATTTTATGCAAATGTTGTTTTCAACGTTGTTTTTTTTTTCAATTTTTATGTATTCCATATGAATTATTGAAATTGATTGCCTTTAAAATCTGATGCATAAATCACATTGTTGAAGTTATTCAAAGACTCAAGCCCTCAGCACACATCTTCAAAAATGAGCAATCTTTGTATGTCTAAAACACACTGGCAGAATTTCTCTAAGCACTTTATAGCCTCACTAGCTGGCTTGCCCGGCTCCGCCGGGCCTGCCAGCTAGACCCGTGTACGTATGTTCCGAATAGAAATTTTTTATCTCTGAACCGATTGGGACCGAACTTTGCACACATACACTTCGGGGCAGGGAGCGTGTCACAGCCCACTTTTCGTTATCGATCGATGTCGATTTTACCGATTTTTTGCAAAATTCGAGCTAGAGGGCTGGGATTTGGCAGAGGGGGGTAATCGAGCATGCTGATCACCCCGAAGGGGTGATCAGCATGCTCGATTACCCCCCTGTGCAAAATCCTAGCCCCCTAGCTCAAATTTTGCAAAAAATCGGTAAAATCGACATCGATCGATAACGAAAAGTAGCCTATGACACGCTCCCTGCCCTGAAGTATATGTGTGCCAAGTTTGGTCCCGATCGGTTCAGAAATAAAAATTTGTATTCGGAACATACGTACATACATACAGACAGACAGACATACAGACAGACATACAGACAGACAGACAAACAGACATTCAGCTTTATATATAAGATATTGAGCCGAACCCACTCTGCAGATATTGCCGAAAATGAAAGATATCCAAAACAATAAGCTTTGTCCAATAATTCAAAGGTCCCTCTATATAAGAGGACACAGAGGTTTCTCCGCTTTTGGGATTTTGACAAAGTGCATGCTGCAAATGAGGCGGAAACGCTTTGTATTCTCGAATTTTAGCATAAGTTACTACCTATGCAGTATACATTTTTGCTATCGGAGACGGTAATCAGAACTGTAGATCTATTGTCTCAGTGGGGCTAATCACTTAAAAATTTTCAGCAGCTTTAACCGTCTTCTTGAACTTTGCAAAAATGCCTTAACTACATGACTTGTGGAGTTGTCACTTGCTTGCACGCACCGGAAACGTAGGAGAAGTCGTTCTCATAATCAGCTTCACTGTAGATTATAACCCCTACGTCAAAACTGAATGAGCTAGCATGACTAAGGTTATCAAACCAAAACCATTAATCGGTCTGTATCGAACATCATCTGATTTGTCCATGACAAAAACCGAGATTGAAAAAAGTTTGGACTGTTCTGCCTTGCACGGAATGTTTCTCCTTGAACGCCTTCGCCTTTTTTTTGCAAATTTTATTTCCTCGTTTCAACACTTTCTTTGCTGAGTTCGGTCCTGTCTAAGATAAGGTTTTTTGTCTAACTGCGAGTATAATCACCGTCTCCGAGTGATAAAGACCCGAAATAGATTTAAGTTTCAGTTTGCACGTGAATACGCAAACGTATAGATTACTCGCTCCGCTCGATTTTTTTCTTTATTTAAGTTGCTGGAATACGATGGTCTGAGCAAGCATGCTGTTGAACTTTTGACTTTTGAAAGAAGATCAAGCATGCTGTTGAACTTTTGACTTTTGTAAGACATTGTTACATCACTAAACAAACGATAAAGTCCTGGCGGAGACCAGATTCGTGTAGCAACAAAATCTACATTTTTTTGTAACATCGTCCGGTTTTAATACAGGATAGTGGTTTTGAAGTTTACATGTGCACTTAGAACCTCATAATTTTTTACATGGTTTTCGAGAAATAATCTACTGATGGAGTTATACTGATTTACAAAAGCGATAGTGCACAACTTGCAAAGATCAAGTTGTAGGAAAAAATCAATCCCATTATGATTGAGTACACAATTGTAAGTGATGTTTCAAGAAGTTCTCCTATAATTGCACCTATTAATAATTAGATTATGTGACTTTCCCACTAATCAGGTTGACATTCGAGGTTAAACTGTGCCTACAACCCATAAAATTAACGCTTGTAAGCAAAATGAGTCACGACGAATTTTTTCGTCTCGGCGTTTCGGATTCATCAACACTTTATTAAAATAATTCGAAGGAAAAGCTGCTTCACTCAGCAGCTTACATCCTGATAGTACAAGATATTTTTGAAACGGTGAAAGTGCTTTTATCTGCTTTGTACTGACGTCATTGTCCCGACAAGAGAGTCCCAGAGTTATGGCGATATTTAACTTGTGTTCCGTTTATGAGTTTGAGGAAAGTAGAGTCACAGATTTGCCTATCGTTATATAAAAGTGAAGAAACTTACCGGATTGTTACGAATGTATGTTCCGTTGATTCCCAGCCCCCATCGAATGATAATAACAACAAGGCAGAGCTTTCGAATAATAAAGTGCCAATACTCGTTAACGTAGATAAGCTTGTTGAGCGCCGGTATATTCGCTATGAAGATCCCCACACATAATGCACCTAAAATTATTAAAATTATTTTGCTCATAAATTATGATCTATCTCACCAAAAAGTGATGGAAGTCGAAGGAATGTCATAAGTTTTCCCACAATTACGGAGGCTATCCAAAAGAAGAATATGGAAAATGTTGATGATACAATTTCGTCCATTGTACTTGCTTTTGGTATGTCTTCTCTTCGACGAACATTTAGGAATGAAGAATTGGCATAAGGATGTACTAAAATACTCACTCAGTCTGACTAGAGGGTATAAAATAATTTCCACTCACATATCGGCCTTCCAACCACAGCTCCCAATGAGATATACATAGCGCTGATCAGTATTACTGCAGTAATACATAAGTTAGCCTGCAAAGTAAGTTATATCAATTTGTTATAATAGATAATATAATATAATTTGTTATAATTTTCGTTTGCATTTTTCACGGTAAGATCATCTCAGTCAGATGTAGGACATCGGCTTAAGCGGAAACTCAGAAAATTGCTTTGCTACTGCTACTCTTTTCTGCTGAGATAAGGTTCACCTTTCAGTATTTTTGAAACAAAATTTGCTCCTTATCTTTTTAAGAAACACAAAATTGTCCTGTGTAGGTGTTTGGGCTGTATTTGACTTTTTGAAAGTAATTTAAATTTCTTTTGACAACAAGTCTCCGAAATCTACAAACAATAGTAAAATAAAAGTTTTGTTTAGTAGAATACAGCTTTCGAGTCCTGTTACGAAAAAAAAGACGGTAGCATATGTTTGGGAAAGATTGTTCATTTATGGTAAACAACCTAATTATCTCGAAGTGAGCAAACAACACCAGATGCTTGTAATTTCTAGAGTGTATTCCACATTAAACCCACCATTGTTCATGCTTTGCTTCAAAAATATTTGTGCAAAAATGGTGTCAACTAGCCATAACAAGAAAAAAAAACGAATTTGTACTATGTACACTTTTTCAAATCATGCAAAGCTGGTCATTCATCAAACATGTCATTTGTTGTTGGGTAAATATTTGACAACCAGCCGTAAATCTCTACTGTCTCATTTTAATTCAGATTTCGTATGATGATTCATATTTTGAAAAGTGCAAGAAATTTTATGCAACGCTAGAATCTTCCCTACGCCGTTGGGAAAAAGACTTCGTAAAAAATTGTATCGTTTTTTTGAAATTGTGTCATACGAACATGATCAGCTTAGTCAGGAGAACATGCGTCTGGACCAATGATCAATTTTTTTACATTAAATTTATCTTTGTCTGCATATGAGATACGGTACCAAAATGCACTTTTGAATTGTGAGTCAAGAAAATCGGAAGTTTTTAGGAGAACCTCTTCTTATCAAACTACTTTTTTAACATTGATTTTCAGAGCGTTGTTCGAATATTATCAGACCAAATATTTTTGAGGTTGTAGAAATGACTTAAAGAATCTAATGACAGCGGTTTTCATTAGAATCGTGCTTTGGATTGCGTTCAGATGATTTTGTCTATAATATGCAAAGGGAATTATACGCAAATTAGGCGAAGAGCATAACGTGAACTAATGTAAGAATCGCTTTGGTAGTGAAAACGCATGAAACAAGAAAGAGTTTAGAGGTCTGCAAACGAGTATTTCCCTTACTATAGGATGGTGGAAGAAATTCCTGATGCCCTGTCGGATGGCATTGCCGTATTTGAAATCCATTTTGGATAGCCAAAGTAATTCCTTCGATCACAAATCACAATGCTTTCAAGTTGTACAAGCGATGGCGCAAGCTCTCGCACAATCGAAGAAGCAACAGAATATTGCAGATACCGACGTTCTGTCAACCTAAAAATACACACTTGAGCAATAGAAAATCTAGGTGAACGGAGTGACGGACGAGTTGTGTTATGAAAGTTTTGGAACTGACAGACTGCGCATACTTTGCATATAATATTCGCGAAGTGAAAACGATGCCACAGATCGTTGATTTACATTTGCACTTTCTCTGGTATTTGACTCGATAACTAGGTGGTGTTTGTCATATCGCAAGCGGATTTCTGGCGAGAGCTCGAAATGATGAAATTATGCAGATTTCTTACAATTTTAGAACAGAACGCAAATCGAACAGCGCAGTTTCCGGAATTTGTTGCGAAAAGAACTTTAACCAACGTTAACTTTTCAAGTGGCTAATTTTGGCACTCTTCGCTCTAAACAGCTGTACTCGAACTTTCTACCGTCACAGGACCTTCTAGTTTCTAACATCGACGTAAGTTCGAGAAAGTTGCTTGTCTATTGTGCTGCACTTTTACCTTTTACCCTTACAGAATGCGCGAATCATTATCGAATTAGACTGTTTATTCCTATACGAGGTGCAGTTCCTCAAATTTTTTTATTCATCACTGTAACTAAAGTTTTCATAGGGTATAAGCAGCACATTACTGCTAAGGAAATTTCCAAAAAAAAGAACTTGTGTTTTCAAGTCTCGACCTAGGTAGTCCGCTATCTTTGCAAAAAAAGCGGAATAGAAACTTTTACGAAAGATGCGACAATGCACATGGATACTCAAAAAATGTCATTTCAACCGGTTTTCAAATGAAGACGGGTCCTCCATGTGGTCGTTTGAAGAGTAACATCTAGTAAAACACTTCTTTACACGACAGTAGCTGATTTCGCGAGCATCAACGTTTTGTTCAAAAAAAACCTGTGCAATTCTATTCATGAAAACAGGCAATTTTTTTAGCATAGAAAACTAAGAAGATTTACACATTTTTTTCTCACTAGATTCTATTCACTGTTTCTAATACAGACGCAAGCTGCTAAGGGTTTAAATAACCAAAGACCCTAATTTTCGAGTACAGTTTCTTTTGAATTAGGGTTGTCTCATTCGTGAAAATCTATCCTTTGGCGCCAGCTACGCCCTTCTATTTCGTACAAGTTTCACTAAGAATTTTGTCACAGTAGGATGATGGTTACCTTTCAAGTCGTATCTCGAAATAAGCTAAACATGCAAAGCTACAAAAGTACCGACCCAAAAGCAATTAAGAGGCAGCTTCTCATGTTTTCTTTTTTTTTTCAATGATACAATCTCTAGCCGTTTAAGACAGCTTCGTGCAATCATGCGACTTCCAATGTAAAATATTTTTTGTTTTTATTAATGTCAGATAACGATAGTGGAATCATGAGTGATGATCACTGTGATCATTGTGAATTAGAATTTGATTCTGCTGGTGCAGTGAATTTAGTCAGAAATGTGCTAAGTTGTAATAATGATGAGGCTTGAGACACTAGAGAAGCTTCGCAAAGGCAAGGCTGGTAGCAGCTTGTACCTACGAGAAAGCTAAATAGGAAATGAATCATACTATTGCTGAAAATTATATTATAGCCAAACTAACAAGAAAACATAGCTTGAAAGCAAAGAATAGCTCCCGGAACAGATATGAAAAAATGTAAGACATTATGACGTGAGTTCAGGTGTTAGTTTGAAAGCAAAGAATAGCTCCCGGAACAGATATGAAAAAATGTAAGACATTATGGCGTGAGTTCAGGTGTTAGTTTGAAAGCAAAGATTAGCTCCCGGAACAGATATGAAAAAATGTAAGACATTATGACGTGAGTTCAGGTGTTAGTCAGCTGTGTTACTAAGAAAATCACAATGGTCGAGCATTGATCTTTAGGCAATAAGATAAAGGTCTTTCTTTCGATATAACCGTCGCGCACTTTGAATTTAACAATAAAAATCAAGTAATTGGACTCGAAGGGAACGTGGGCAACCAGGTTGAGCGACAAAGAAACAGTAGACGAAATCCAAGCTGACTCAGCTTTAAGTTAAATTTTGAAAGGTAAACAGGCGACGTCAGCGAACGGATCTAAATCACAAGTACGTGCAAGCTGAGTATAAGGAAGAGGTATAAGTGCAAATCAATCATTTCTCAAATGTTGCTCCAAACGTAGATTTTTTTGATGCCCATTTGTTGATACAGATTTACCTCGTTCATTGCGTGTACACATTGTAAGGGGCCTCAAGAAATTTCACAAAGTTGGTGCTGAAACAGGTATACATGCTTGTACTTTGAGGTGATGCTTAGAGTTTTTGATAGAGAAAAGTTAGGGAATATTTAGCGAATAAAATCTTGGGAAGGCCCTTCACAACTGACACAGACAAAACACGTGCGGCAACGGACTCGAAATAAAAATCTGGAAGCGAGACGTGACGTTCATGTGCTAGAGGCGTAGACTCAACCTCGCCGAATGTTGGTGACGATCCGATTGAGAGCTCGTTTGTATGACAGAAATTTATAGAAGATTAGTGAAGTTAAAGAGATGAGTAAATAGTTTGGTGTTCACAGGAAACGCTTAAAAAGTGAGCATTATCAGTTGTAAGCATAGAGTGTCCATGGGCTTTTATACAATATCGAGAGAAGGGGTGGGCTGACATCGGGCTCCTTCCGCTGATTTGCATAAGCTGTACCGTTCTTTTACAGTGCGAATAAGAATTTATAACCAACCTCTGTAATGACAATGTTAATGATGTCAACGCATTGAACCTGATATAGTACTGCAAAGCATGTGAAATTCAAATGAGAACTTCTGGTCGCATAGTACAGTATGACTAGTCTCTATAGCAAAGTTCACACGGAATCTGCATTTCCTATTGCAGCATTCTGAACTTCTGAAATATTTAACAGTAACCCTTTCTCCCCTCGAAACCATATGGCCCGCAAATGATGTGCCTTTAACCCCAGATACATCATACGGAATAAAGGTTTCGCGCGGTAATCTCGCAAACAATAATTCTATTTTTTTTAGCTATACACTTTTTCGGAACGATAGATCTCTCAGGGACAATGGCAAATGCGAAATTTTTTTGAGAGTGGGGGGGGGAAGGGAGGGAGACAGGTTTCTCAGCAATGTTGAGCATATGCTTAAATTCTTCTCGGTATATGGTGCAAGTGATTTGCAATTTTTTCGAGACCAATTCTACCAACAACTATGTTTTTCATGATCCACTTTTAGGGGGAGGGCGATTTGCAAGACAATATCTTTAAGCTCACTGTCAAGTTCTGATGATATCGTTGATCTCTAATCAGTTTCACATAAGACGAATGGTACATGGGCTATGTGATCACGGGTTGAGCCACAATTTTTATGATATTTTTTCACCGAAGTAAGACACGATCGTGCAAAAAAACTGATAGTATCACTAGCACATGACTGCGTACACGTTTTCGTCTCTTTGGAACATCAAAAAAAAAAACGAGACATCATTTTTCAAACAGTGGAGACTGCAGTAGCAGTGACAACGCATGTATCTGCTGTTCTAGAAATTGTCTAGGGAAGGTGTGGTGTCCCGGGATTCCTGTGCAATGCGAAGACACTTTCAGCTACTCCATCGCGCAATTAGAATGTTGGACTAGGTGGAAGAAGTGCTTCTGGATTAGGAATACAAATTGATTTTCGATTTAGGGGTAGTGGATAAGCCTAGATAAGATAAATAGCTAGGAACAACTGAGTCTCTGCCCGTACGCTGCCTTTAAAATGTGCAATATTTATTCCGATCTCACAGTTAATGGCGTTCTGAATTTAAGAAGAGAGCAAACTTCTGAAGACTCCGACATAAATTCGAACTGATTGAAGTGCTGTCCAGTATCCAACCACTTGTTCTCAAAGGAAATAAATTACGCGATATTTGCTATAGCACAAAAGCTCCTTCAAATCGCAGGACGATGTGGGGTCATCACCTGAGGGGAACGTAAATGAATTGAAGGGAGCCCCTATGAAAAAAGTAGGTACCAATCTTGCCAGCAACTCACATATGAAACAACAAAAATGAATGTTTAGTTAGTCAATTACGATTGAGTTCATGCCTTAGGGTAAAGCCATGTAAATTGGAGAATGTCATTCCTGATCTGTATAGATAAAGGTGAATGTCTGTTTGTCTGTGTGTCTGTGTGTGTACGTATGTTTCGATTAAAAATTTTATTTCTGAACTAATCCGGACCAAACTTGCACACATACATACAAAAAAAACTATGCCCAAATTTTTTCCAAAAAGTTGGGTAATTAAACCGGCCGCCGAGCCGGGAAGACCCCATTTTGGCACTCTGACATGGTCCCTGCCGCGAGGGACGTCCACAAGGAGAACATCTACAACCCGAACCCAGCACCTTCTATATAGTGTATTGCCACGCCCAATCGCTCGATTGAGTTCGGTCAAAATGCATTGAGGCTCGTTGGCGGCCGACCATCCCTTTTGGCCGTCCCGCCCCCTCCGTTGGAAACCCCGCCCACTCGGTCAAAATGGCCCGCACGCTCCTGTAGGACAAGATACATACACTTGGGGGAAGGGCAGGTGCTGTAGGCTACTTCTCGTCATTAATCGATATCGATTTAATCGTCATTTTGCAAAGTTCCACCTACGAGGCTAGGAGTTGCCATAGAGGGTTAAGTGGGCATGCTGATTACGAATCATTGACAAGGTCGGCCAGAGCCGAGTTTGCCAGCTAGTATCCAATAACGGAATGCCCTGCACTCCATATGGTATGAGTGGCACTGGAGGACGGCCGTATACTTGCTGACACTGGTTCGGAGGTTGGTTCGTCTTCCAAGTTATGCGATTTTTGCGCGTAAAATTTTAGGTAAGGTCGAGACTGGCATGAAAATTCGCTTTTGGTAAAGTAGACATAGAATCACAACTCTTCTCCTACATTAGGCCTCTGAAGAAGACGAATACTTGAATGTTAGGCCACAATCAGATTAGGCCACTGAAGAAGACGAGTAGTTGAATGTAGGCCACAATCAACCTGTGAAATACCTCTTTGCCTCTCTTTCGTTTCTGATGCAACTATTTTGTGG